AGGACGTTCAAGAACTCCCCATCCATACCATCATTGGAGTAAGAGGAAAGGTCAGACACGTTGCCTAGTTCCACCCAGCATTCCTGGATGCCAGGATGTGCTGCCCCCCCCCCCGCCCCTCCCTTCTACTGCGTGGAAAGGGCAACATATGTGACAGCGTTCACCAGTACAGTCGGAGGAGAACATAGGAGAAGACAAAAAAGGGCAACACACATGAATCCCTTATAAACACGCAGTGGCAACTCTAGTACCAGCAATGTTGGCCTTACGTGTACATCCCAGCCATTGCCGCCGGATTCAGCGGCTTCTTCTTCTTCTTCGTCTCCCATCTTGGAAGCACTCCTTCCCGTAAGTTCAGTCCTGGGAGTACAGTCGGAGGACGTCGGAAAAGGCAAAAAGGCAACACACATGATTCCCTTATAAGCAAGCAGTGGCAACTCTAGCACCAGCAATGTTGGACTTACATCCCAGCCATTGCCGCCGGATTCCCACGCTTCTTCTTCGTCGTCTTCCACTTCCTAGGTTCCATCTTGCAAATACTCCTTCCCGTAAGTAAGTGCAGTCCTGGCCTGGGTGGATGCGCAGTATAGTACATTGACGATGGCGGAGATGGAGCAGGTCAGGGAGCCCTATAGGGTCCCGAGAGCAGATTGCGGCCAAATTCGGGACGATGCCGGACGCCAGTCAGTATGAAGTAGCGAATTGCGGACTGCCACGTAGATTGGGGTCGCGGGGTCATAATCCATGGGCACTACTCGTACGTTGCTCCAAAAAGGGCCTGGAACTGTTCCACAGTTGCTGTTAGCGATCGCCAAAGGCACTTGGTAGGCCGGTAATTGGGTCACGTGTCAACAAAGTGTCAACAACGTGTCGACAACGTGTCTTTAGCGGTACACTAATTTTGGTGTCCCCAAACTGCCTGCACACTCTGCCAATTTATACACCATACCCAACACCATATCCAACACATGCACACAGTACAAGTACAGAGCCCTAAACATTGCCACCTGAAGCCTGCTTTTTTAGCACGGAATATTCTCACCCCTAACTTAGTGCCTTCTTTCGCGCTTGCTGTGTGACTGGGTATATAACCTGTAGTGATCTAGTTGCCCTGTATCAGTTTGTTTCTATTGCCTGATGATTGAT